TCTATTTATGATAGTCTCCGGTCATTAAGTATCTCTGCTGTAAGGGAAAACTGGGGCTATTAACTTTACCAGATTGAACTGGAGGGGAAAAACGATAATTTCTTTTACAAGCAGAAGGGAAGGTTCTGCTCAATAAAGATCAATTAAACATCTCTGTTAAAAGGCTGCTTGGGAACTGGTGCCAATAGAAATGGAAATGGATTGAGTTCACATCCCTTAACCACCTCTCCCCCAGCATTTTACACTTGTCACTGGGTGATTTTTTTTTTTTAAGGGCTTTGGGCAGTGTTCTTTCTGTAAGGTAGAGGTTGGACGAAAGAAACCATTCAGGCCTTAGCTGATTGACTCTTTTGATCATAAGTGATTTTTCCATGCATCAGCAGTGATAGGCCCAAAGGATGGAAAGGTAAATCAAAGGCTTTTCTGAACTGGGCCCCGGCATCTGGATCATCATGTACCTGGAGAGTAGAAAGAATCCAGGGCAGATGGTTCAGAAGGGGGTGAGACATGAATCTCTTTAGGTATGTCGCTCCTCCATGCCGGAAACAGGACACTGTGGGAGAGCATTGGGGTTGGAGTCAGAGCACCTGGGTTCAACTATAAGTTTTGCTATTTACTAAATCTGATTTTGGGCAAACCATATATCTTCTCTTGGCCTCAGTTACATCTCTTGAAAGATGAGGGGTTGAACTCAATGAAGTCCTTTCGAGCTCTAAATCAATGATAACTGTCATCCTGATTAATTCCTTTACCTTGGGCAAATCATAATAGCTTTCAGAGTCTCAGTATCTCCATCTATAAAATGGAACTATTCAAACTAGCCTGTTTTACATGAGTATTCAGGCAGATTTTTTAAAAAAGGATATAATTCATAGCACTTAGCATGTACTTCTCACTTTCTGCTATATATTAATTATGTGCATCCATATCTTAGTTAACCTACTTGAGAATGGGTTGTCTTACTATGAATACTAAAGACAACAAAAAGTGTAGCTATTATATTGCATGTATCTATTTATTTACATGCTGCCTTCCAATTAGGATGTAAGTTCCTCGAGAGTAGGAAATATTTTTTTATTTTCTTTGCATCCCCCAAGCCTAGCAAATAGTAAGTGCTTAATGAATACTTGATTTATTGATTAATTGATCATAATTTTGGGAATCCATACTATCTTTGAATCTCTCTCAGACTCAACTTAGCCTTTTATAGTGTATTACATAAAGTTTGCTAAATTGAATCAATTGCCATATGATAGGTTCATAAATTTGCAAAGTAGGAGCTTTGGGATTTCAGAAACACCACTAAGAATTCAGACATTAAAGCCTTGGCTGGTACATGACTAACCTGTCCACATATGCTCTCACTCTCTAGGCTGAAAGTCCAACCTGTCCATATGTTTCTGACCTAATGTACCATCTGATGCCCTGGTAGTAGGACAGAGAACACAGAATGACATGGCTGAGAATCTGCTTCTACTGCAAAAGCCATATACCCTGGACTGAATGATCTCTAAGATCTCTTCCCACTTTAGACTTCTGAGAGTCACAGGATAGAACAAGCAGACAGAAAGTGACGTAGTCCCTTGAAAATAACTAGTGCTCTGGGCTCCTCACTATTTTTCCTATCTCTGTCAGAGGTCTTTGGAATCATTACTGGGATAGCAGAAAGCAAGAAATAATGTTTCCTCAATTGGTGTTATAAAAGGCACCAGGCATGTCTCTGAAGGATAAGGGACCATGTTCTGAAAACAAGGCCCTTTATCCACAGCAGAAGATTCCAGTGGCTGCATCTCTCAGAAACAAGCTTGAGCTTCAATGATGTTCAGCTTAATTCAGTTCAATAGGCATTTATTAAGCAACTGCTGTGTGCCAGACACTGTACTTGATGGATGCTAGGAATACAAAGACAAAAATGAAACATTCCTAGCCTTCTAGGAGTTTACTTTTTACTGAGACAAAATATGTTCACAGATAAGAATTTTAAAAAATACATTGTATATATGTGTGTGTATATACATACATACATATACATATACATATATATACATACATATATATATATATATATATTTTAATATATATTCAGAGGTTTTTTTGAGTTGGTGGATGGAGGAAGAACCCTAACAATGGTGAAGATTAAGAAAGCCTTTAAGTAATAGGTGGCATTGGAACTGAGCCTTGAATAGAACTAAGACTTCCAAGGGGAGGAGGTGAGGAGGCAGAGCATTTCAGGCTTGGGGACAACCTGGTGTAAGGGCACAAGTTATCATGGGTTTTTGTTGTTGTTATTCAGTCGTCAGTTATGTCTGACTTTTCGTGACTCCATTTGGGGTTTTCTTGGCAAAGATACTGGAGTCATTTACTTCTCCAGCTCATTTTACAGATGAGGAAAATGAGGCAAACAGGGTTAAGTGACTTGCCCACAGTCACGCAGCTAGTGAAGTATATGAGGCCAGATTTAAAGTCAGGAAGGTGAGTCGTCCTGACTCAGGGCCCAGCACTCCATCTGCTGCGCCACTAGGTGCCTCATATCATGCTTAGGGAAGAGTAAATATTGGTTGGAGAGTAGAACATGTGAGTGGGGGTAATGTGAAATAAGTCTAGGAAAATAGTTTAGAGCCTGATTAGGAAGAGATTTAAATACTAATCAAAAGAGTTAGGACTTTATCCTAGCCATAATAAGGAGCCACTGAAGCTTCTTGATCAGAGAAGTGACGTGGTCACATATTTATTTTAGGAATTTAAGTTTGGGAGCTGTGTGAAGGACAGATTGGAGAAGGGTAAGGTAGGAGGAAACTGGAATTATATTCCTGTATTCTCTTGTGTGTTTAGCCTTTTAGTGCCTGGAAGCACAATTCCTGGTATATAGTGGGTGCTTAACAAATACCTGCGGATCGAGTAATTGAGTCTAGCAAATAATAACTCACATTTATAATAGTATTTCGCGATCTTCAAAGTGCTTCCTTTACAACAAATATGTGAGATAGGTAGCATAAGTATTATTAGCCCATTTCACAGATGAGGAGATTGATGTTTTGTAGGAGTTAACATGTTTAGGTTCACCCAGTAAGTGCTAGAAGACACACATTTGAACCTATATCTCTGCAGACTCCAAATCTAATCCTCTTTTTACTACTGCGTGGAGTCAGCTCTATAATAGAAGAGATCAAAGATGATACTTAGAAATATAGCTTTCCTGGTAGATCATATTTTAAAGAAGATGATAATTGAACATTCTAAGATTTAGCTGAGTTTATAGGAGTATATTTAATTTTCCAGTTGCTAACGCTTGTGCTTGGCCTGAATTTTTTCCCAAGGTTAATGCTTTAAAAATCATTGCTCAATGAGATCATGCAAATCCAGATGTCTATATAGCTACTGGAAGAAAATTGTTATTGTTTTTTTTTAATAAGTTGCTCCATCTGTGAGGAACAGAACTCAAAGATGACTTCAGTTTACCAAGGAGTTTTGTATTTTACTAAAAGGGGGTAAAAATCAATCTTGAGTCTTTTGGCCCAGTGATCAGAGAACTCTTGCATTGATTTTGCTCTGCTACTCGGGTAGGTTTGCAATTCATGCTGATCTGGTCTTATCTGACTTGAACTTTACTTTCACTGGGAAAGTATTAATCTGAGTGTTATCTGTACAACACTACAATACTGTACCCTCTTTAAGATCACTTTACATAGCTTGTGTAAACATCAAAGGATTCAGTTCTTCAGATTTCCTCAAGTTTAGAATTCGGGTTTGTTCAGTGCTATTCAGAGTTTGAGCACGAGAGGGAGACAAAAGCTTGGCTAAATAGGAACCATTCTTGAGGGAGAAACAGCCTCCTTGTTCAAAGTGAAAACACAGGAATACTTGGAACAGGATTTGTCTGCTGGGTATAATTTGGGTTTCCCAAACAAAATGCAACTAGCAAACGATATGCATGTTTTGTCTCTTTATTTTTTCTTCTCTAAATCACCAGTTGGGAGCCACCCCCGCCCAGATCAGGAAAGCAGAAACTTCTCTAGTTTCATTCAATGCAGTGGCCTGTGGATGTTTCCTATATTGATACCACAAGCATTTTAGAAGTGTCTGCTACGTGCCAGGCACTGAGTTAGGTGCTGGAGATACAGAGACAAAAACAATCCCTGCCCTCATGAGGCTTATATCCTATCTAAGGTGAAACATACACACAAATAAATAAATACAAAATGTATTAAGGAAATTTGTCAGGGAGAGGGCACTAACAAGGGAGGGACATCGGTAAAGGCCTCATGTAGGAGGTGATGTTGGAGTTGAGCCTTGAAGAGAGCTAGAGACTTCAAGATGAGGAACATGAGATGATGACTTCAAGATGAGGAAGGAGTGCATTCCAGGCATGAGAGACACAGTGAATATTCTAATCTCATCATAGGATTATAGATTTAGAGCTGGAGGGGACCCAGAAATCATATAGTCTTACCCTTTTATTTTATAGATGAGGATTCTGTGCCCCAGGTCACACAGCCAATCAGGAGCAGAACTGGGAGGTGAACCTTGGTTCTCCTACTCTGGATCCAACATTCTTTTCACTGCAACATGTTGGGTGGGTTAGGAAAATCCCTAGCACTCTTAGGTATTAGGGAAAGTTTCTGAGGGCACTTGAACACTAAGCCTCTTTCTCCTTCCCCTGCCTTCACTACTTATCCCATGGACTAGCTGTAAGTTGGGCAACAAGTATTTATAAAGCACTTAATATGTGCCAGGCACTGTGCTGGGTACTGGGGATATAGTGTGGTACAATAGGAAAAGTGTACTTGTCTTAAAAAAGTCTTGGGTTCCTATCTTACCTCTGATGTGACCCAAGGCCAGCCTGAGCCTCACTTTCCTGAGCTTCTGTTCCCTGATCTGCAAAATGGCGGTAATAATGCCTGCCTCACAGATGTATTATGAAACTCAAATGAGATAATATATGTAAAATACCCTGCAAACTTTATAAATGTCTATTATTCTTACGAAACCAAAGGATGATATGCAAATGTGATTTTTTTTTAACTATTTCTTTTGTCAAAGATGTTTCAACTACTTGAGAGTAGTTACATTTCTGAGAATTGGTTTCTTTTCCCCCCAATAGGCTGCAAGGAGCTGACAACTTTCAAGTGGTCTCAGTATTCTTGAATGATAATGAATGAGAAAGAGGCTTATAATTTACCAGGAACACAATCCTTTGAGCTGGATTAGCCCCCTCCCTGTGCAGTCAGATCAGAGAGCTGCCATCCTTCCTCAATGAGGAATTCGGATTTCCCCTTATGCCCTTGTTCTGTCTTCTCAGGGTCAACAAGAGAAGAGATGATTCTCTCATCTCACCTGAACATTTTCAGAGTGGTCCTTTTCCCACTTTGGGCAATATTTTACAGAGGTAAGCAGACTAATCCTCATACCATAGCTCAGATCTGGAGTCAGGAGAGTTGTACTCAAGTCCGGGAGCAAATCAATTAACCTCTCTGAATCTAAGGTCGCTCAATTATGACATGAGAATACTAATTAATGCTTGCCTTTCCTGCATTGTAGGATGGTTGTGAGAGATGCATTTTGTAAACCATATGACAATAATGAATAAATATAACATAAAAACATGTATAATATGTAATATAATACTTATATTAAATATAATAATATAAGCAATAATAATAGCTAGCATTTTTATAGCACTTACTATGTACTAGGCACTGTGATCTTATTATCTTTTGTGGTCTTCACAACAATCCTGGAAGATAAGTGCTATTATGATCCCTATTTTGTTGTTTGTTTTTTGGTGAGGCAATTAGGGTTAAGTGACTTGCCCAGGGTCACACAGCTAGTAAGTATCAAGTGTCTGAGGCCAGATTTGAAGTCAGGTCCTCCTGACTCCAGGGCCGGTGGGTGCTCTATCCACTGTGCCACCTAGCTGCCCCTGAGCCCTGTTTTATAAGTGAGGAAACTGAGGCAGACAGCGGTTAAGTGACTTGCCCTGGACCATATAGCTAGTAAGTATCTGGGATCAAAATTGAACTCAGGTCTTCCTGACCCCAGGCCCAGTGCTCCATCCACTGAATTCTAGCTGGCTCCAAGGTGATTGAGACTCTGGCATCCTTCATGTAGTGTGGTCAAGGGAGAGTTAGGTGTGCTGGGTGGAGGAGTGACTTGTCTCAAGGTACATCCCCAACCCACTTTTTTTGCTCTTGCCAGGGTCCAAAGACTAGTTTACTCAATGACTCATCAGGATATGTGCTTCTCTCCTTGTCCCTGCTCCCTGATGAATAACACTGCCAAAAGTGATTTTTCTAAAACATGGGTGATCTGGTCATTCACATCATGTCATGCCCAAACCCAATATATTTCAATAATTTTTTTCGAGTCTTTGAAGGATGAAGCCATGGGGCCTTAGGCCATACTTACTCCCTGGCATGCTGCTTTCTTGGCTATCAACTTACCACACTTGGAGCTGATCCAGGGGACTCGTTGTCCTTCAGGGCTTTTTAAATGTTCCTGTTTGCTCAACTGCAACATGAGGCATAAAGTCCCTTTAACCTCCTGACCCATGAACCAATTTAGCTCCCCAATGTTAGAGATGTGATGAAACCAAATCCTCATTTTCTGTCCTTAGTTGCTGTTACCATTTCTGGGAGCCGTAGCTGTTATGTCCACTTTTCTCATTCTCTTCCACCTCTGTTTTCTCACATTCTAGACCGTGAGAGTTCGTTTTCCAGAGTTTGTTTACAATGCAAAGTGCATCCTAAAACTATGGGGAAATTATCCTAAAAGTCTTGTGCATAGTCTGGGAAAGGTTGGCTCAAATTTTAGCTCTAGCTCTTTCTGTTAGCTGACCTGGGCAAATCATCTAACTTCTGTTTGATCCATAAAATGAGGATAATAATACTTGTGCTACCTACCTCCCTGGTTATTGTGAAGAAAACGCTTTGTAAACTTTAAAGTAATACACACACTACTTATATAGCTGGACCTAGAGTTGGAAAGACCTGAACACCTGGGTTCAAATACAGTCTTAGACACTTACGAGATGTGTGACCCTGATCAAATCATCAAACCTCTGCCTGCCTCAGTTTCCTCATCTATAAAATGGGGATAATAATAGTATCCACTTCCCAGGGTTGTTGTGAAGATAAAATGAGATAATGTTTGCAAAGTGAATTGCAAATCTTAAAGCACCATATAAATACCAGTTATTATTAATTATTGTTATTATCATATATTTACATTTTTGCAAATCCATTGATGCAAATCACTTTCACCTTCCCTTTATATTCTCAAGTTGCCCTGGGAGCACTGAGAAGTTAAATGACAAGTTCATGGTCACTCAGTTTGTATGTTTAGGAGGCAAGACTAGAACCCAAGTGTTCCTGCCTCCAAGGCTGATCTTCTTTCCTCTATGCCATAATTCTTTGCCATATAAATCTTCATTGTTATATTACTATTAGAAATTTGCATAAAAGAAATATACCCATTCTCAGACTGAATGCTACCTAAGCTTTTTGATCTAATTGTTATTTTTTTAATTTAATTTTTGCTACTAAGAAAAATCTGTTTTCTCTCCCTCTCACTGCTCTCCTCTTGCCCCCTCCCCCAACTGGAGAATAAAAAAGAAAGGTAAAACTCTTGTTATAAATACGCAACCAAAACTAATCCCCTCATTATCTATGTCCAAAAGATGTGTCTCATTCTGCACGTTTAAAGTCTGCCTCTTTTTAAAAATAATACTTAATTTTTTTCTCAATTTTATGTTAAAACAATTTTAAATATTTTTTTAAAAAGTTTTGAGTTCCATATTCTATTTCTCTATCTTTCCTTCCCCTTCACTCTCCTGAGATGGTAAGCAATCTGATATAGGTTATACATATGCAATCATGTAAAATATTTCCATAGCAGTCATTTTGTACAAGAAGATTCAAACAAGGAAGAAAGAAAGAAAGAGAAAGTAAGAGAAAGTGAAAAATAGTGCTTCAGTCTGTATTCAGAAAATATCAGTTCTTTCTCTGGGAGTGGATAGCATTTTTCATCATTAGTCCTTTGGGGTTGTGTGGGATCACTGTATTGCTGAGAATAAGTACACTTAAAAAAAAAGATAGTATTGTATTTTTTCCAATTACATGTAAAGAGACATTTTTAAACATTCATTTATAAAAATTTGTTTCAACTCTTCTCCCTTCATCCCTCCCTCCCATCTCCCCCACCCATGGAAAGGTAAGAATTTTAAATAGGTTATATATGTGCAATCATGTAAAACATTTCCATATTAGGCATGTTGTGAAAGAAGAAACAGATCGAAAGGAAAAAACCATGAAAAAGATAAAGAAAGTGAAAATAGTATGCTTTAAGCTACATTCAGACTCCATTAATTCTTCTTTGGATGTGGATAGCATTTTCTATCATGAGTCCTTTGTCATTATAATTTGACTTGGTTCTCTATATATTTGAAAAATGAGGCCTTTATCAGAGATGCTTGCTATAAAATTTCCCCTCCAGTTTTCTGCTTTGTTTCTTATTTCGATTGCATTGCTGTTGTTGGCAAAACCTTTTTAATTTTATGTAATCAAAATTATAAATTTTAAATTTCATAATGCTCTCTATATTTTCTTTGGTCCTAAATTCTTCCCTTATCCATAGATCTATAAGGCAAACTATTTCATGTTCCCCCTATTTGCTTATGGTATCACCCTTTATGTCTAAATCATGTACCCATTTTTACCTTATCTTGGTATATGTATGAGATGTTGGTCTATACTTAGTTTCCACCAGTTTTCCCAGCAGTTTTTGTCAAATAATGAGTTCTTGTCCCCAAAGTTTAGATCTTTGCATTTATCATGTACTAGATTCCTATGGTCATTTACTACAATGTATTGTGTACCTAATTTCTTCCACTGATCCACCACTCTATTTCTTAGCCAGTATCAAATTGTTTTGACAATTACTGCTTTGTAATACAGTTTGAAATCTGGTATGGCTAGACTACCTTCCTTCACATTTTGTTTTCATTGATTCTCTTGATATTCTTGACCTTTTGTTTTTCTAGATGAATCTTGTTATTATTTCTATAGCCCTATAAAATAATTTTTGGGTAGTTTGATTGATATAGTGCTGAATAAATAGATTAGTTTAGGTAAAATTGTAATTTTATTATGTTGACTCAGCCTACCCATGAGCAATTTATATTTTTCCTATTGTTTAGATCTGACTTTATTTGTGTAAAAAGTGTTTTGTAATTTTGTTCCTATAGTTTAAAAATCTACCTCTTTGAAGAGTTGGGAAGTACACTTTATCATTGGTCTTTTGCAACTGTGATTGGTCATTGCATTCATCAAAGTTGTTTATCTTTGAACAAAGTTGTTGTTTTTACCATATAAACTATTTTCCTGGTTCTGCTCATTTTACTCTGTATCATTTCATACATGTTTTCCCACTTGACCTAATCTTTAACTGATATGCTGAGATCTAAGCTTGATCATGATTCTTTCTAAAGCTGGAAGCTATTCATTTGTGGCACCAAATGAAAATGACAGCTTTTCTTGATAATATCTGATTTAGATATTTGCCAGCTTGAATTTTCTGGACTGAACTCAAACCCTGGTTTATTTTTAATGTATCAGGAAGCATCCTGATGACATGATGGATTTATGGTACTCCACCAATGTTACTGTACATTTTGGATCATAGGATTTATAGCTAAAAGGGATTTCAGACTTCAAGTAGTCAAACCCCTTTGTTTTTACAGATGAGAAACAGGACCTAGAGAGTGGCTTGCCAAAGGTCACAAGTTAGTAACCGAAAGGGCTGTGACCTAAACCCAGGTTTTCTGATTCCAAATTCAGTGTTCTGGATTTGTTCATTTTCCCTTACTGCTTGCCTTAACTTTACCTACTCTTCTATGAAGGGAAAATTAAGAAAATTCAAAATTGGTACATGTTATCATTATTTTTAAAAAAAATCAGACTTCATCTTGACACACAGATCACCCACTAAAGTTCACAAAGGCATCCCCTTTATTTGCAGGTTTCCTCTTCTTCATCAAACAAAATACAAACTCCTTAGACTGATGTTGAAGATTTCACAATCTGACTTTAGCCTATCTTTCCACCTTATTTCACACATTGTGTTTCAACAAAACTAGACAAAGGTTCTTCTCCAAACTTGTCTTGCCCAATTCATTTATCTATAGAACATCATAAGATCATAAATTTAGAACTGGAAGGGACCTTGGAAGCTATCTAGTTTAACTCTTTCATTTTACAGATGATGAAACTGAGATGTTAAGTGACTTTTCATGGTCCCCTAGCTAGAAAGTGTCAGAAGTGATATTTGAACTCAGGTCTTCCTGACTCCAAGAGCACAGCAATATCTACCTCACCACTTTGGCTCTCTGCCCTGTCCTCTTATTTGAACATGATCCACTATGTGTGAAATATTTCTCCCAGATCTTCACCTGTTGAAGCTCCTTTCTTTCTTCAAGGTCCAGCTCAGATGCCAAGTCCTCTTGTGATGACTTCCATAATTCCCCCCAGTAGAAGTGATCTTACTCTCCCTAATCTCTCACTCTTTTTTAAAAAAAATCTCCTATTCATTTATCATGTTTTAAGGTATTGTGATTACTGGAATAGTAATATTCATAATAATAATATTACAATAATAAAAACAACACAGGGTTTACCCTCCAATAGCTTGCCTTGAGAAAATGGTCTGTGGCATTTCATCCTCATTTTCCTAGTGCTTAGCGATCAATCAATCAGCAAACGTTTTAAAACATCTCACGTGTCACAGACACTATTCTAGATACTTCAGATAGAGTCAGTCAGTTGTAGGTGCTTACTACATGCCACACACTATGTTAAGTACTGAAGTTACAAAGAAAAATTAAAATAGTCCCTACACTCATGGAACTTACATTCTAGTGGGGGAGACACCATACTATATACATGAACCAGCACATTCAAGATACAGAGTAGATGGAAAGTATCCTTAAAGAAGAAGGCAATGGTAGCTAGGGGGTCAGGGAAAGTCCTCCTGGAGCAGGTGGAGCTTGAGATAAGTCTTAGGGAAGACAAGAATTTTAAGAGGTAGAAGTTATAAGGGAAATTCTTCCAGGCTTTGATGCAGCCAATTTAAAAGCATGAGGGAACATGTTGGCAAGAATGGCTAGGTTGTTAAGTGTATGGAGGGGAGTAATGTGTTAAAAACCCAGAAAGATAAGAATGGGGACAAGTTATAAAGAGTTTTAAATGCCAAAAAGGAATTTATTCATTCCAAGAAGTAATAGGGAGCCATTGGAGTTTATTGAGTAGGGAGGTGAAATACCTATGCCTTAGGAAATCACTTTGGTAGCCATGTGGAGAATGGATTGAAGTATGGAGAGACTTTAGGATGAGCATACAAGTAAATAGAAGGCTATTACAATAGTATAAGTGAGAGTGATAAAAGTGAAAATAATGTCTGTTGAGGAGATTAAGATTGATCTTGTATCATTTTCTTATTGATCCTACTTACAATTAATTGCTTTTGTGCTCTTTGTTTCTGAACTTGGTTCAGAATTCAGGTGGTCAGGAATGGGTTAAGTTTAGAAATCCAGCTGTCCTGCTAATCACTGATTTATTCTTGCCTCAAAGAATTTAGCTGACCTTGGAGAATAAGAGTCAGGTCTAGTATTTCTACACCACAAAGCCATCCTTCAAGGATGTCTGGTTTGCTGTCCAAAAAGGACTTGTCTGTTAGCTTTTGACCATGCATCTCAACTCCAATAATGAGCACTTCTTAGTCTCATGAGAGAAGAAGGGGGTGGGAGGGGTCATTGTTATCAAGCTTCTCACCAATCATATGTCTCAGCTTTGTAACTAATCATATTGACCTCAATCCCATGATGTCATCTACCCTGTTCTATTCTTTGTTCTGCACTCTCCAAAACCTATAAAAGTGAAACTATTTGCTTGGGGTCTTTGACATACATAGAGGCAATCCATGTTCCTGCTGATAAATCTCATTTTGCTCAGAGAATTGCCTCAGTTTACCTTTTTGCTAAAATTCACTCGCAACACTGCCTTCAAAGAGTTTATATATTAGATCTACTACTAGCATAGTACCTTGCATATTCTTCAGTACTTAGGTATTTGTGATGTCAACAGTGTAGGGATCCCCTCTACTGACTCATAGTTCATTCTTTCTGTGCCTCAGTAGGTGATTTCCATGAGTGGCTGTGTACGAAAAAAACCAATTGTCACCTACTTATCAACCCTCTGGCGATTGAAGCTCTGAATTTATCAAGGCTGGGAAAGGTAATGGCATTTTACCATGGGGACCCTGAGTTCCCAAGAGCTGCCAAACTCTTATCCACTCACCTGCCATTAGTAGGTCATGTGATTTGAGTAGCTTTTTTTTTTTTCTCCAGTGCTTGCTTCCTCCTCCCCCTCCTTTTGACCATTAGCCTATATTTGCAAGATGGTAAGGAAATAGCCTTGGGAAAGAATTGTTCTCTGTGCAAAGTTCCCTGGCTTGTCATGGGGTTGAGCCTGGCACCTTGGTCCTGTGAACAACATTCTTTAAGTAGCTAAGCTAATTGGCAGAATAGGAGCTTGAAAGAGAAGGGAGCCTACCTTTTCTACATTGTCTCTTTATCTTCTGATAGCTGTGTCTACCCCTGAAAGGCCTGGTTATGGTAACTTTTCCAATTTGGAAAATTTTTTTGCTGGTGACTTGGGTTATGACTAGTAATTTAATTTATATACAGTGGAGAGCTGCTAAATGGTAAAAAATTAGAGAAACTGTTATACAGAGAGGATTTATACCAATCACTAAACCTTTTGGCCACCTAGTTCCCTTTGTATTATCTTTATAACTAGATGAACTAAATTTCACAGCTATCTGAAGAAGACAGACTTATCCAAATCATCTATATTTTAGCAGGCAGCACCAAATTCTAGGCCTCTGAAGCATATTTTAAATAATTTTTTCACCATGCCATATATTTTAAGTATCATTAAAAAGCCATTTTCATAGCTTTAAAAATATATGTGCAATATATTTTATGAAACCTATAACAAGTCTATGAAAAATTGATTATTTTTTCCAGAGATGTGCTCAAATGATTTCCATTCTACTCACCCAATGAGAAACCTAGTGCCATGTTCTTGATCTTCTTTACTCCAGTGAACATAGTCAACGTGAGACAAACTAATAGAGATGGGACACTAGGCTTGGGTATCCAAATAACTCTCTGTGGTGGGCAGGTCAACTCCATCTGACTTTATCACTGAGAGCTCAAGAATTACCTTTTAAACTCTTGCTTTTTCTGTCTGTCAGTTCTCTTGTATTAGCTCCATTTTAAGTTGCTGTTGACATGCTCCTCTACCAGCCTGCCTCAGGCATCAGACATCACAAGACCAGTGTGTGCAATTTACTAGGAGGAGGGATCCACGAAAAGCCCTCAGAAGAGCCTTCAAAAGATGATACCCGGAGGCAAAGGGCATGTTAATCAGGACAACTGACCATAACAAAGGTATGGAATCTACTGCTGTTATATCAGTGGTCTCTATTAGGAAATGATTAAAAGTAATTGGATCAGATTTACTCAGGGAGGGAAATAGGGAGTTTTGGGAGAGATATGTTGAAGAAGAGGGATTGACATAGAAGTTGTATCCATAGATATGAAAAGTTGCCTTCAGGAGATATCCATGCAATAGGAGGGCACATAGAAATGTATTTGCATTATGAAAGTCTCCTGACATAAACTCTCATTCAATCCAGCATAGACTAGTGCCTGTCATTGATTCACATTGGACCTGCTGGGGGGAGGGCCGGCTAGGAGAGTTAACAACAGTAGTGATAGTAGGAAAATACATGAGGAACATCTTGGGAATAAGAAAGGAAAAGACAAAATACTCCAGAGTGGATAGAATGTTGGACTTCTATCGAGGGAGACTTGAGTTTAAATCTAGCCTTAGGCACTTATTAGCTGAGTGATTCAGGACAAGTCATTTAATCTCTCCCATCATCAGTTTCCTCTTCTGTAAACTGGGAGTAATAATTGCACCTACATCACAGGGTTATTTTGAAGACCAAATGAGTTAATAAATAGCAGAATAGAAGTTCTTTGGGTTTAGGTACTATCTTGATTGCTTATATTTCTATCTCTAGCGTGTAGCACGTCATTGTCATTTCAGTTTTATTCAACTCTTCATGACCCCATTTAGGGTTTTCTTGGCAAAGATAGTGGAGTGGTTTGCCATTTCCTTCTCCAGCTCGTTTTACAGATGATGAAATCGAGGCAAAGAGGGTTAAGTGACTAGCTCACAGGCACACAGCCTGAGGCTATATTTACACTGAGGTCTTCTTAACTCCTGGCCCAGCATTCTATGCACTGTGCCACCTAGCTGCCCCACCTTTGGCACTTAGTAAGGATCTAATACATGTGTTTTTTTCTCTCTCTTTCATTGTAGAACGATGTACAAACCTTAAAATGCTATGTAAATGTTAGGTATTATTATTATTATTATTAATAAATATATTTTAAAAATACATTTTTGCTTAATCCTTTGGAAATTGGAAACACTAGCTTGCCACTCTCACTCAGAGTGACTGATTCTCCACTTATCATTGCAAAAAGGGTAAAAGGTTCCCTCATGAGACATAGCTTAACTTCTGGCTCTTATGTTATTTTTCTTTAAGTCTATAGACTGGTCCACTCACTGCTCAGAGTGTCTGTCCTCAAAGAACTTTCACTCAAGCAAGGAAGGTAACATATACATGTAAGTAGGGGTGTGCTGGAGTCAGCTGGAACTGGCTTGTGAGAGTCAATTGTTAAACTTTCAATGTGAGTATTTGCATCTCAGAAATCAGCAAAGACTGGTGCAAATCAGGGCTTAAGTTTTTGCTCTGTTGATTGTCTAGACTTAATGAAATGGTGGAGAAAATGTTAATGAAGGGGATTAAACTTGAAAGTGTGCTGCGGGTATGTTTTCCCCCCAGCTCTTTGGGGGGAATTTACATTTACCAGAATGTTGTTGCATATAAGTATGTTCAAAGCACAGACAAGATGACTTTGGTGGGAGGAATTAGGGCTATCAGAAAGACCTCCTATAAGATGTAGAGCTTGAGCCGAACTTGGAGAAAACTGGGGATTCTAAGAAGCAGAGGGGAAGAAGGAATGTCTTCTAAGCATAGACAGCTCATGTCAAGCCAAGCAGAAAGGAAATGAAGTATCATGTGAAGGGAATAACAAGAATTTAGTTGACCTGGACCAAAGAGTGTGTGAACAATGAATAATAAGGCTAGAAAGAGGTTAGTGTCAGGTTATGAAAAGCTTAAAGAGACCAAAATGGAGCCTAGAGGCAATAGGGAACCATTGGAGACTCTAGGATTTTGACTTTTTTTTCTTTATTTTTTAAAAAATTTAAAAAAATTAATTTACTTTTAGTTTTCAATATTCACTTCCACAAGATTTTGAATTCCAAATTTTCTCCCCATCTCATCCCTCCCCCAACCCCAAGATGGCAAGAAGGCACCTCTTCCCCTAATCTGCTCTCCCTTCTATCTATCCCCCCCTTCTCTCATCCCCTTCCCCTTCAATTTTCCTGTAGGGCAGGACCTTGACTTCTAACCTCTTGGAGACCTCTTACCAAAGGGAGGGTAGATGGTTTTCTGCCATTTATTATTTCTCACCTGGGAGTGTCCACTGATACCAGTGGATAATCCATTTCTAAAACAAAAGAAAAAAAGTATCAACCAATCAATCAAAAGGCATTTATTAAGTGCCTATTATAGGGCTGTGCTTGCCCCTGGGGATACAGAGGCAGAAATGAAATCGTCCCTGCTCTCATAGTATAGTAGAATTAGTCTAAGATGTAAAAGGTGCAGGTGAATTGGAGAGAGGTAGCTCACTCACTTACTTCATCATCAATGAAAACTTCACAATCTAGCTTGTTTTGTAACTGATCTTATTTTTTGTCTCTAGCGGCACAATAAAACATAAAGTTTACATAGAAGTGCTTAAAAGTGAAAATAGAGCATCTGGATTTTTGCAAATTGTGCCTTGGAAGCAGCTTGCAAAAATGTGGATAAATAAAAATCAGGTGCAGAGCCCTTTTGCACTCAGGTTGAGAGTTCTTTTATGTACAAAGCTACTAAACTGATTTATCTTTACTTTTTATTCAGGGATGGCATGGATGGTACAGTTCATCATATTTAGAACTTTGGTGAGGACAGCCTAGGGCTTCGTTTACGTGTGCTTCCATCATCCGTCGAGATGAATGTGGGCATTCCAATTGCATAAGTCTTTCCAGGGTTTCATCCTTTCCTCCTCTATAGAAATGGATGCCATTCAGAGACCGCATAGGCAGACGCAAGGGTAGGAGTGCTAAGGTTAATGCTGCTGGGGATGAGGATAGTGATGACGTCCAGAATAGAAAGCATTTGGTCACATCTGTCCCCTGTCAAGAACCAGCCAAAATCCCTGCCGGCTAGGCTCTGTACTGCGGTCCTTAAAGGTTGGGTTATTGGTCTTAGGGGGCAGTTAGGTGGTGCAGTGGATACAGTGCCAGGCTAGGAGTCAGGAAGACTCATCTTCCTGAGTTCAAATGTGACCCTGGGCAAATTGCTTAACCTTGTTTGCCTCAGTTTCCTCATCTGTAAAATGAGCTGGAGAAGGAAATGGCAAACCTATTCTCTTTGCCAAGAAAACCCCAAATGGGGTCATGAAGAGTCTGACATGACTGAAATGACTCAATAACAACAACATTGGTTTTAGGCCCAGCCACCAGTCTTACTTGTCCACATTATACCTGACAGGAATTATGGCCTTCATCAGGGGCCTGTGGGAACTTATGGCTCATATGACCTTAAGATTGGACCATTTGTGGTTTATAGTGGTCACAGTAGTAGATTGACTCACTGGGACTCTTAGGCACCAAAATCCTGGCAGATCCTTTCCATCTCAGAAAGAAACATAAATATAGAATCAGAGGACTTGGGTTCAAATCCCACTTCAGTGTATGACTTTGTACGAGTGTCCCTGGGCCTCAGTTTTCTCATCTGTAAAATGAAGGTTTGGATTAGACTTTGAGGCTCCTTCTAGCTTTAACCTTTGATCCTATGGCAGCTAGATTGGCGTAGTGGGTAATAATAATAACTCACACTTATGTAGTGCTTTAAGATTCTATTATCACCACTTCATGGATGAGGAAACTGAGGCAAAGAGAGGTTAAATGCCTTGCCTAGGGTCTGTCTGAGAAAGGATTTGAATTTACATCTTCTTGTCTTTAAGTCTAGCACTGTACCCACTATACCACCCAGCTGCTTAATATATAGATAGAGTATGGGTCTAGTAGTCAGTAAGACCTTAGTGCAAATCCTGCCTTAGGAATTTACTAGCTATGTGACCCTGGGCAAGTAATTGTCTCTCAGCTTCAGTTTCCTCATCTAAAAAATGGGGATAATTGCACCTTCCTGCAGTGAGAAACTCAGAGAGTTGTTATAAGGGTCAAATGAGTTAATGTATTTAAAGCACTTCGTAAAACTTAAAACCCTATATGTTGGTGGTGAGGAGGATAATGATGATGATGATGATAATGATGATGATGATGACTGAACTGCCAGGATCATGGAGATGAGGAGTCTCCTTTGATTCTTTGAAAATTTCTAGAAGTGATGAAGAAACAGGGTAGTTCTGGTTTACTTCTTTTCCATTTTCCACCTGGTCCTGGCTCCTATGAACATTGCAGAGGGTCTGTAATCTCATCCTGCATAGCCTCTATGGTCTGTCATTCTTTCCCTTGTGTTCATGGTAAGAGCATCTATACCTGAGAACCTGGGGGCAGCTTGGTGGCACCTTGGGTAGAGTACTGGGCTTGGAATCAGGAATCAGGAACTCATCTTCCTGAGCTCAAATCTGGCCTCAGACACTTCCTAGCTGCGTGACCCTGGGCGAATCACTTAACCTAGTTTGTCTCAGTTTTCCCATCTGTAAAATGAGCTGGAGAAGGAAATGGCAAACCATGTCGGTATCCCTGCCAAGAAAACCCCAAATGTGGTCATGAAGAGTCAAACACAAATGAAAAACGACTGAACAACAACTCCAGAAACCAGAGGGGGAAGATGATGCCGCCTCTCTGTTTCTTATGCTGTCACCTCAGGCCCCTGAACAATAAATGGGAAAATTAGTGGCCCAGAAAGGGAGAAAGCTGGAAAGACTCCTTTAAGGTCAGTCCATTGGTCCTTGGGGCTCCCTAGGCTGGAATGGTTCCAGCTATAGTGCCTGGATTTTTTATTCATAATCAAGTCCAACAACCTAGCTTAAGGGTGGTACTGCCTGTATTATCACTAACATTGTATAATTTTTTTTTCCTGCCAGACCTGTTATTTCACTGGGGTAGAGAACTCTCATGACAAAACTCCCTCTACCAATGCAGATCATAGGATCATAGAGCCAGACCTGGAAGGGGTCTCAGAGGCCTTTCAGTATAACCTTCCTATTTTACAGATAAAGAAACTGAGGCCTAAAGA